CATTTAATGCGATCACTTAGGATTTACACCAGTGTAGGTGAGACTGGAATCTGAGCCTTGATCTTTTCAGTGCAATTTCATCAATTCTGTTTGATATGAAATGAAAGGAGTGCATTATGTTCTTCAGCCATTTTTGGAGCAAAGTAATTTGACAAGTTCAAGGCAGTGAAAGAGGTCTTCCCTCCTGGAGTTAGCTTTAGAACTGAAACCTTGGATTAGCAATCAAATCTTTTACTATGTTGTTTTCCAGGAGTTATTTATTTTTCATGGACAGGAATCAATGATGAGCGCTAATAATGACAGCAGTGATTTCCAAGTTAAAAGTTAAGAGTATACAGGTTAAGAATAGCAAGTTCCTCTGACTTTAGATTGAGCACTATGAGTTTAAATGTTTTCATTTGTTTTTAAATGCACACCTTGATGTTGATCTGAGGGTGCTGTAAATGAGAAGGTCAAAAAGGTATCTCTGATGTAAAATCATAGTGAATTCAGAAGCATGCTCCAGGTGTGGATATAGTGTAAAATATAGAGTGCATAAACATAAGAAATAGCTAGGAAATACAAAAGTACATCAAATGCCAAATGTCTACAACACTGCAAATTATGTGCTATGGCAGGGATGCCAGCAGCAGTATTCAGGGTGAAAAGAGCAGAACTCGATTACGGAGATCATAAAATAATCCTTTCCCTTGATCCTCGGCTCCCCAAACTCAAAGGAGCACAAAGAGCCGGCTCTGAACAAACAATCTTTTATCAGTGATGGATGTGGCACTGTTTTGTCCAGTAAAACTGCTGATTTACTAATAGGAGAAAAACAAATCTTTTCTGATGGCACCTACCTCTCTAACCTGCTAAAGAAAGCACAAACAGATGTGTATCTCTGCGACTGTGAGTGATGAAACCAGCCTAGAGAAAGACCAGGAACGTCTGCCTAGTGCTAATATTGCAACATGTGGTAACACCAGCAGCATCTCCCATTAGGACATATTCATTTTCCTTATGCCAAGAATATGACCTATGATACTGCATGGCTTGATTTAATGGAAGTGCCTTTTCCAACAAAAAGGTAACAGATATTTTATACAAATGAGAAATCTGCCCAGTGAAGCCTGGGCAGATTTAAATTCCTTACACTTCCCTTTTATTGCATGGCCAGCAAAATTAAAGGATGCTACTAGTTTTTTTAAAAAGCAAGTTATATGCTTTATGTATTTTGAAGGGAGGGAAGTAGTTTTTGCTTTGTCTTACCTGGAAACAGTACATATGAGAATGTATTTTTTAAAGTAGTAATTATCCTTTATGTGTGAAACTCCATGAGGGTTTTCATACTGGTCATTTTTTATATAAAGGGAGTAAATCAAAAATAATTGCAACAGGTCTTGGTGATTTAAAGTTGTATAAATTACCAATATTAAGCAGTTAAAACATACAAGTAAGAATAGAATCAGACCTCAACTGGTTTGCTATAGTGGTTTGTATAGCTCAGAAACTTACTGCAATCAAGTGATCCTGCTAGTTTAATTCCACAGATAAGTCAAGTACATCAAAACATTAAAACCTATCACCTTTCAGTGGTCAGGAAATGGTATTTTTTGCTGTAAATCAAAACTGAAGGACTTCTGGATGCATTTTCTCAGTCAAAACGGACTTAAGAAACCATGTTCTTGCAGCACATTTTTTTTTCTCCTCAGTAGCCTACAAGGGCAGTTTGATAAGATGGGTAATTTTGCAATTTCTTTAGGAAAACATTCTTATACCTTAACCCTTAGAACACAACAATCAAATAAGAATACTTGTCAAAATAGCCAATAAAACTACAAAATAGGAATTAGTAAGAGCAATTTTAGATTACAATTTCTAGACTTGGAAAGAAGTGCCATGTAATCTCACTACCTTCACGAGCACTGTAACACTCTGAAAGGATTTCCTCTCTTTTATTTGGAGAACAATAGCATAAGCTACAAGGGAGAGAAACTTTTATTCACATAGGCAGGATTTCAGATTAATCATAATCCACAATTTACATATATAATTTTAATTGAAAGTTCTTTTCTTCTTTTCTGATAACTTTTAATCCTGTGTGCTTTACAATACTTCTATGTGAACTTGCGAACCATATGTCATCAATCTGATTATAAATTAGGACATTCATATAGTTTCAGCAATTGCTTTCATAATTAAATACTAAAACAAGTGACTACTCTCATTTAATCCTGAGGCACATGATTCTTTAAATGTTGGACTTGCCTGTGGCACCCAGGCAGCCAGACATCTTGCATAATGCCAGAAAGATAGAAAATCATGCAGAAACACTTCCTGAACTCTTGCAAAGCAAAGGTTGTTTTCATTCCTTACCCAACAGAAAGATTTGTGTGAAATCCCTGGAACTGTGAGCAGAATTTTTATCACTTCCCACTGATGTCAGCAGGACTGCCAAGCAACAGGACCACCCTTCTCTGGATGGTCTTTTAGACCCTTCTTTGACTTCAGGGGCTAGTTTCAGGCATCTATTGTACCATGAAGTCGTGGATACACTTTGCATATTCGGGAGGAAAAAGAGAAACAAGACCCCAGCCCATGTGGCACAACCTGCTTAGGGAAGAGGCCTGTGTTAGTTTCAGATCCAACCTGGGCTATTTGTTAAATCTTGCCTGGAGCTGTGTATGAAAAGTGTGAATCACTGTAAATGGCACCTCATATCTCAGCTTCCCTTTTTAGAAGACAAATGATTTGATTAATGGTTATATAAGCACAGTGTAGGTGTGTCTGATTTATTGTACCAATATCTATAGCTGCAGAATCTCTCTTCTACACAGCAGCATTTAAATGACCTTTGGTGTATACAGTTTTATTCCATTAGCAACAAGATGCAGCACTGGTCAATAATAGAAATGTCTGTATATTTATATGCAAAATGATTTTTATTTTTGGTCAGCTGCTTTTACAACTTCACCTGTAGCTGACTCTGTGGCTGACAAACTGAGTAATACAGTGTACACACTAGTTGCTAGACAGAGAAAGAAAAATGTTAGTTTTATTTTGGAGTCCTTTAAATTCAGAAAACTGGCTAAAATCAATTTATAGTTCAAAGAGAGTGGATGATACCGACATTAAGTGGTAAAATTGCTTCCACTTTGATAGTGTGCATTAAAATATAACACCAAGGTGATAGCCATTGATTTGGAATAAAATAGGAAGTGAAGGTAGGTTTGACAAGTGTAGGAGGTTGGGGAACAATTTGACAGGTTTCAAATCAAGCAGGTTCACCTGAAATACTTATTAAAAAGAAAGAAAAAAAAAAGGAACCTGCCTTTATAACCACAATTATTAAGGAATAAATGTCAATTCACTATGTAAATCACTCTGGGCTGCAAAAAAGGGACAACCATCCAGACTGGCCTTAGAGAATTGTGCAGTGAACTTTGAGAACTGATATAAAGAGAGCAAGATCTTATTTCTGATGATTCTGATGAGTGATTGCTGCCTATTGGCACTTTCTGCCTGAGGTCAGGGCCCAGCTTTTCTTTAATCACAGCAGAAGACCTTTTCTAATGATCAGTCCATAACGATTAATGGGAGTAGCTGATTTTCTGAACTAGAAAAAAAAATGCTACTACTCAAGCTATGAAAGACAATATGGAAATGTTTTAATTATCTGTTGCCTTTGATTGTTGGTATAGCTGTTCTTACGTGACACTGTGTTTACCGTTTTCTTCACAGGTCACTTTGGAGTACAGATGCCTTGCAGCAAGAGAAGAAGGAAGGCAGAGTGTTATTGGCAGGTGTCCTGGTCTGGTCTTACTGAGAAGGAAAGAGCACGTTTTGGAATCATATGCCAATGCTTGCACAGAAGTACAGATGTGGGGATTTATAACATCTACTATTCCTGATGTGAAAAATTCTCTCTAACAGCAAATGCAATAGTGCATCTATTTAATTTCAACTCACAGAGCCAGGTATACATGAAACAAGACTTCCTAGCTGTTCATCAGGTAAGAATGTTCACAGGCAGAAGAAAAGCCTTAGTGATTGATTATAAAGCACATTGTGTTGCAACACCACCCTGTTCCACATTTTCTTACAGCCTCTGTCTGCAAAACTGTTTTAAAATTCCAAAAATTATTAAGTACCTGGTCTGGGGACTTTGGTACAGACACGGCCATTTCCAAAAAATCCTGCTGGACATCGGCCACAGAAGTATCCAATGTAAGGTGGTTTCCGATCAAAACATGGGACTCCAGGGAAACACGGCCTGTTAGCACAGGTGGTAACGTATGATGGAGGTGCTGTGTGGCCAAAAAAAGGAAAGCCAAACACTTTTAAAAATTACAATAAACCAAATGCACATATAAAATAAAGCATCACTAAGCCTGGCTAAAACAATGCAACTGCTTATATTCTTTTAAAATATAATCAATGCAGAGTGTTCTCAACCTTGTGCCAAACATTAGAACATCCTGTAGGCAGAGTATATCAGAACATCTGCTTCTCATTAAAACAAGATTTATTAGGCTTCTAATTACATGTTTTCAAGTTTATTACTCAAAGTTGCTTGGCATTTATCATGGATAATATAGATATTGAAATTTTCAGCATAAGTGAAAGATTAGCTGAGCAACTACATTAATCAGACATACTTTTGTTCTTTTATGATTGGAAGGTTATCATCAAACTTTACAGTACATATACCATACCTTTAAGAATACCCTGTCAAGTACATATGTTTCTGATTGCAAAATCATCCTTAAGGTGTCAAATATTGTATGAGAAGAGACTGCTCTAATTGTCTTCGAATGATGTGCAAAATCAAACACTCTGGTAGTATATAATATTTTATCACTTATGATGTCACTAAATAGCAAGAGCATATGAACTGCCTCGGAAGAGGTGTTTAATGGAGTCAGGACAGAGGACAGATGAATAAAATCTTAGTGGTGGTTGTAGATCTTTTTAATTGTCTCCAGTGAGGTCTGTATCATGATTCTCAAGTATTTCCAGCATTATTCTTGTACCTTGCCTGCAAAAATACAATGTATGCCTCTAAAAGGCAAATTTTGGTTAGGTCATGGCAGGCCTGGCACAAATATACAGATGAAAATGTGAAAAAACGAACATATCATTCACATATGTCCTACATAAGAAATACTCCCAGTCTCAATTCTTGGGGTCCTTACTTTCACTGGAAAACCAACAAAAAAATATGATACTCCTTAGAACCAGGCCTGTGTACGAGGAATGTGTTTCTGTGTTAGAAAGTGTTTAGTTCTGCAGTGGTCACTGTAGTGACTGCAGATGTTCTTGGAGAAGCCTGGGCCATAGTTGGGTTCATACTCTGAGAGTCAGTCTTTGTTTATCTTCAAACCTTGGTCCTCATTCAGCAACTTCCAGTGCAATGCTGAGATAAAATAGCAGCTGTGCTAGGCTGTGGCAAATTCCTGTAAGCTGTCACTCATATTGCATTTCTTTGCACTAAGCTGTGAGATTGGGACTGATTTTGCTCCTTCTTGGAAGCAGTGAGGTCTCTAGTCGAGCTGGACTACCCTGGTTGCTGTTGCTCTAATGACTTTCTTCCCATGTCAGTGTTTAGCAGCAACACTCGGTGTGATGTACTGAGGAGGGTTGTTTTTGTTCTGCAGCTCTGTCTAACTGATGCAGTTAGCTTATGTTAGGATGCTAAAGCATATGACCTCTAAATACATAAACTGCAACATCAGAAAGAGATTCTGTGTCACTGTACCCCTACCTTGTGTATCACTTATGTTGATGCTCTTAACTGCAGGAGAATTCTTTGCCTCTAAGGGTTGCAATAGCCGTTCAACCTCCGTCGTGTTCAGATCACCTCTGCCGTCGTTATTGTCAATGATGGGCTCTTCTGTAACGTCAGCAGCAAGCACAGCTATAATAAGACAGTATGGAGGCAAGGAAACAAGGTATTAAGAGCTTAGCTGTGATTGATGATAAAAAGCAATGGTAACAGCAAATCAGATAACCTGACATAAGTTTATTTCAGAAGCCTGCCATCAAACGCAGACAGGCAAATCAAATGAGTCAGCTGCTGAAATGCAGGACAGCTTTGACACAAATACAGAAAAAATTACTTTGCCCAAATTCGCTAAACTTAAGTCATGCAAGAGACACAGTTAATATGCACAGGGATCTTTTAGTGAGCTAAGGGTAGGCAATGTGCTTGCTTGCACAAAGATGAGACACTGCACACTGGGGCCTGTGATCTGTCTCTTCCTGCTTCACTTTGAAAGCTTCCCTCTGAAAACTGCCTTGTACATGTTTGTTATCTTCAGTTAGCTCAGCTGCCAACTTTGTGCTCTCTAAAATGCATGTTCTAAAAATATATGGAAGTCAAGGGGAAAACTGATTGTTTGAGATATTAAAGAATAATAATTCCTACCTAAATTTAAGACAGTTTCTCAAAGGATTGTGGGATCTCTACATGGATATATGTGATATCTACATGGATATATGTTGTGAGATAAACAGCTCCGGATCCCTCGGATCTTCTTTACTTTTACAGAAAACCTTGAGACTGTGACTTTTTATATACATTAAGCAATGAACTATAGCCGTCTGTAACACCTACAAAATTGGTTCATTTTCATCCTTCTGCCTCCTTGAGGATACTTTTCCATGTGCTGCAATAGGGGAAGTATGGGAAGGGATGGTCAGTCTCACAGCAGAGAGTATCAAAACCATGAAGAATGATTTATATTCTCTTTTGGTGGAAAAAGAAGCACTTGGAGGCCTTTCAAAAATAATGTTTCTGTAATTAAAAAAAAAGCCTAAGGAGAAGTTACGACGTCTCTGATATATTTTGGAAAAGGGCATAATTTTGTGTATCAGAATAGCCTTCCCTTGCTACTCATATTAGCTACAAAAACATACTTGGGTGATGCAGATGCATAATCAGCTTTGAAATGACTCATTGTTACCAACTACCAACTGTAAAGGAAACGTTTTTGTGCAGACATTTGCAATGTGACAGAAGGATATTCCATAAAACTGCAAAGGCAATCCTGCTGGCCCCAGAACCTCTCTGTTACAGTGTGGCTTTTTACATCAGATTGTTTTTCTCTTGGTAAACAAAATGAGGAAAAGTCATTGTCTGCACAGTTCTTATCTGTATTTTTGCTTTTTAGAATTATTTGGAAACACTAACAAAACATAAAAACACTTTGAATACTGATTTGCTCCTCCTTGTCAACCCAATGTTGTTTTTACTGAAGGCTTGTGTGTGTAGAGCTGAAAAAAGCAGATATAGAGAGTGTGTGAATGGGTCACGTCCTGTGCACTGGAGGGTCTCAGTGCTGCACAAAGTCACTGCAGCCCCCGGTGCTAGCGAGGCTGCTGAGGACAACCCTGACACAAACACTGACAACGTTCAAAATTGTTCCTGGCCTTTTCCTGACTGGTTGGGAGCTGTATGTCAAACATGAGCTCGGCAGCTATGGATTGCATCCTCTATCAAAAATACACCTCGGGCATGGAGGTGAAATTCAGGTATGTGTGAAGGACTTGAACATTGACCTTGCTTTTACACTAGCTGTTGCTTGTACAGCTTTCGCACAAAACAAACATCCTGTAGGTGCTGCAGAGTTGGTGCTCTAAGTTATTGTATGTTTTGGAGGAGATATTTTGGAGCAAAATACTCAAGAACCTGTGGAACATTCTTGGCTAATGATATAGCTGGCATCTAGAAAATACTTTTTTTTTTTTTTGTATGCTAAGGTTCTAATAAAAAGGAAACTAATCCGCAGTGAAAAAAATCAAATAGAGACCAATTTGCAAATACCCAGATTAATATAACATGGTCATGGTCTGGTTTGGGTATTTAAAGGTCCAATCGTGAGTGAGTAGCAAAGTACTCATTAAAGGGAATAGCAGTAGAATTGAGCCCATTTCCCCCCATCTATTAGAACAAATCACGTAAAACACTTACTTACATTTGCAAGTTTTACCATCTCCCTCCATCCCAGGGGGGCAGATTCCACATATGTATGATCCAAAGGTGTTCAGACAAGGCACTCCAGGAAAGCAGAGATTCTCTTTGCATTCGTTCCTGTCTTCCTGACAGGTAAGCCCTGTGGCAAAAGCAAAGAGTTAATAGTGGGGGAAGATTCCCTGTTTATTCCTCAGCGCGAATGTTGGAGCAGACTGAGGCTTACCTCTCAACTGTGAGCTCATTACAGGGTACGTCACTCATGTTAGTGCCAAATTCCCTGCAGTCTCACTAAAACCTGCTTTAATCTCACTGTTTATTACTGTCGTTATTGGCACCGGAATGCTGAACTTGAGACAACTGCTTGTAGAAAACTATGCATATTAAAGAAGTGATTTCCCCTGCATTTCACATCTTAGCTTCTGCTTTTGTTGTATTGTTTATGCGAGATCTTTGTCATATATTTCAAAAGCCAATGTCACCATTTTGGCTTTAGGAGCTTGAGAGCTGTGTACTGACATGTTGTGCTTCTCATCACTGTGTGAACCTCACATTACTAACAGATTATTGTATACAAACCTGAGAGAGTCTGGCTAGAGGAAAATTTTACTGAATAATCTGATTCTTAAAAGTACGGTTTCTTATTTAAAATCTAAATTTGGAGAGACATTCTCAAAATTCCTTTAATCCACAGCACTGGTGTTTGAAAGATAAGCTAGAATTTGAACCCAAAACAGCGCATATGGGCTATTACTGATAGTGGAAGTAGGTTTTAAAAGTTCCTTGAAGTAACTGATATTCAAACCCTGGATATGGATACCTACAGGGCAAGCCGAACCAAAAGTTAAAATGACTGTCTGAACAGCAAATGAACTGTAGGAATCAAATATAGCAATGTTAAATACTCCCTCAGGCTTCAGATATGCCTGCTGCTGTTTCTGTGCATTTGAGAAAACTTGCTTGGCTATTCCTGATTACCTGAACACACAGTCCTGATAGCAGCTCGTAAGCCAGCCCTTGCCACCCCTGCTCAGGTGAGCCTTGTGCCCCTTGCAGGGCTACCTGAGGAGACTGGGACACTTGCTGGTGGCACGTGGGGAACCCCTTTCAAGGCATTGCTTAAGGCAGGGTAGAATGGCTTGTAGCATATCAGACATTCAGCCTTATCAGAAAAGAAAATGTAGGGATAAAATAATATTCTTTCTTCAAAACAGATTTATCTTAGCAGAATGACTTACAGAAAGATGAGAACAGATTATTATTCTTCTTCTACGACATAATCTTTCACTGCTTCAGCATCTCAGATAGCTTCCACTTGTCCTTTCATGTTAAAATAGCTTCTCCATGTAAGAAACTCAAATGAAGTCTCTCCTGACTGAGATGCCTGAAAGAGCCAGTGTCTCCCCATCCCCTGCCAGTCTCATCTTGCAGAAGAGGAAAGGCAGAACTAAAGAGGTCACCTCAAACCAGGTTGTTCTGGTTGTGCCTTCTTCTTGATGAGGGAAACATCCCTTCTTATTTAAGTTAAACATCAGTGCATAGACAGCTGATTCTGTGGGGATTACCTTACTTTTTGTTTTTTTTTTTTCCCACACTTTTGGGTTACTGGTTCTGTTGTATAATTTAATTAGCAAATTTATAACATTAGGCTGCTTCTCTCTGATATGCTTTTTTGATGACAAATTGGGAGATCAATACATATCACATTATGGAAAATATTATATGGATTACTCTCTGATTAGATTAGTAATTATATTCTTTCTCTGAATATTATAAAAAGACTAAACATGAAACCATAGAATCAAAGTAGGACTCCTACACACTGTCTATTTTGTAGGGGACTGTCTTTAAAATCTCAAAGATGAGAAATCTGCAAAAGGCAAAGGAACAATGTAAGTATGAAACTAAATTAAAAAAATCCACACATCTAAATTCTGTAATGTAAAGGCGGAACTATGTAAGTGCTTAATTTCACTCTTAAAGATATTTGATTTAAAACAATATCTGGTAAATTTTGGCATAACAGTAATTGGGCAGAGGCTGAAGATGAATGTTCGGGTTGTAATGTAAAGGTGGAACTATGTAAGTGCTTTCGCTCTTAAAGATATCTGATTTAAAGCAATATCTGGTAAATTTTAGCATAACGGTAATCGGGCAGAGGCTGAAGATGAATGTTCGGGAAGTCTGAGACTAGGCTGAACGATGCTGAAGAAGCAGTAGATTTGGACAAAAAACTGTCTGTAACAAGAAATGTGAATTATTATGTTTGCATGACCCCCATGCACTGCAACACACAGGAGTCTCGATTCCCTTGGCACTGCTACTGTACAAATAAAAATAATAGGAAAAAAAGATCTTCAGGTTTCTAGGTTGAAACCTCTGTTCCAGCTCTATTTCCTGTCCCTGCATGGGAAGTTGGTTGAAAAGATAAAGTCCTTTTATGCCTAGAGAGGAACTGACCACCTGCAGATGCAGAAAACAAATTTTTGATCATGTTTACATTAGGCCGACTCTAAAACAAACACTACCTAAGCTTGAATCTCGTTGAGGGATTCTATGATTATTATATACTATGACCAAATCTTGATTTGCTCTGTTTCCTGAAAAGTAGCATGAATTTATAGCCCTTTTCTTCCCCTCCCCCCCCCATAATTTTATATTAATAAAGAGTGAAAAAAGGAATAGTTTTGTGATTAAGATACAGGGATGGGGTTTGTTCCCAAGCAGAGGATTCTTCCTTTCAGCAGTCATAAAGAAGAAACAATAGAAATTCTCATTAATAGTGTTGCAAGAAAACGAATGAAGCTTTGAACACACAATGAGATAAACATGTATAAGTCTCAACGGAAATTCAAAATATTAATAATTCTGAAGCCATCATTCTCTCAGATTTTCCACTGGCTTTTGTCCGTGCATCGTTCCCATTCCTACATTATATACTTATATTCCCTGAGATACACAGATGCACTTGCATTGCTAGTGTTTGGCAACACATGGGTGCTTCTCTTGCAGTGGTGTTTGGGAAGCTCTCAGAGGAGCTAATGTTTGGGGTTTTTTTTTTACTACCTGTTCACTACCATTTGTAAAGATTTGATGCTGAAGTGGTGTTGTCACTTGAGCAGTACAGCATTGCCTTCTCATTAGATTATTGATGGTTTTCTAGGGAATTGAGACGTAAACACAACATCAAGGATGAGCTTTTATTGTTGTCACAGAACCTGCCCTGAAGTAAAATCATCTGCCTCCCAGCTGGCTTTCAGCTCCACTTGCTTATAATTTTTCACCCTCTATTAAAACTTTGAGATGTATTCCTGTTTCAGTCAATCATATCTTTGTTTTGTTGCTGTTTATTTTGTTGTTTTGTATTTTAGAATTTTGGACCAGGGAGGCAGAGCAAAAACAATATACATTTATTTAAATTGATAAGAAATAAAGAGTTCAGGAAAATCTACTTTTTCTTGGGTCATCACGATATCCTGCACCCTTATCTTTGGAGTCATATTGTAGATGTATCTTATTTCAAGTATGGTATCATTAAGTGTTGGATTTTTTTTTTTTGAAGAGTGAGAACCACATTTCTGAAAATACTCCATGTGAATTTATAAACAAAGCATTGCAATTATGGCAGATGTTTCATGTAGAATAATAGAGCTTGATTTCATTCCATCTATATGCGGTACTGCAGAAAGTGAGAAAAAGGGCAGCAGTGTCAGTCTGTTGGAGAAGATCAAACAACAGTAGCAGACCCAAGGAAGGAGATTTGCCCCTGGAATTATGTTGCTTTCTACTCATTTAATTCACTTCCTTGTAGGCAATGAAGGATTGTTCCTCACTACCCAAATGTTTAATTAAATACGCCCTAATAGATTCCCCCATTTCACTGTTCTCATAGGGATATTATTTCTAGGGAATTCAAGACAACGTCATTCAATATAAGCTTTTGATGGGGGAGGCATGTTTATATTTTGATCAAACATTCTGTTTCTATGTTTAGTCTCCATGCTTAAGCTTAAATATTTTTGGATCATTAGAATCTCTTGTGGATGTACTCACTCTGCATACTAGCATACTTTTGTAAAGTTGTAGACTGGCAGTCTATACTATCTAGCAATTATGCAGATCTTTTGGATCATGTTTCTGAATTCCCAATTTTCAATCATTTTTGGTTTTGAATTCTGTCTGCACTTCTACAGGTAATGAAAACTAAACTAGCGATCCCATGTGATAGAGGTAAACAAAAACGGTTTCAGAATTGCTGAAGGAGAGAGAGTCTATTTTTTCTTATATAAGTCCATTGAGTATAGAGGTTCTTGCAAATATGCAGTATATGTAGTAATAATTCTGTGCATCTGATGTGATGTCTTCTTGCTTTTCCAAAGCTATAGCACTATACAGCAGCAAATATTATGAGTCTCATGAATTTATATGTGCTTTCATATGTGCACTTTTTCAATAGCTTCAGGTACTGAAATGTGAGCTCAGCTTTGGTTATTGAGTTTTATGAAATGATTGTGACCCAAGATATACTTTAAGACAGTTTCAGTTAGCACCTTCCACCCTGGGGAGACCGATTTGCACCTGATGTGAACAGGTAGTAACCCCATGGTGTTACTTCGTGTGGTGGCCTGTGTGAATGGCTGGCTTTTCCCTTAGGTGGCACCAATGTTAGGAGCCCTGGCAGAAAGGCAGAGGATGAATGCTGGGTGCAACATCATCAGGCTAAGCGTAAAGCTGGTCTTTGCCTTCCTTCTATTTTAGCCCTCATCTGACATACGAATTTCTGGTTTGTCATTAACAGTAGGGGCCCACTGAATAGATTGCTATACCAGCAAAACATAATTGCTTCAAATTAAAAAGTCATGTGAGTGATTGGCAGGGTGGATCCATCCGTCAGCCACCTGACAACTCGATTGGAAGTTGTATCCAGTTAGGAGCCTACTTAGGTGCTCTCAGCAGATGAAGTCTGATGAAGTAAGTGTAGCCCAGCAAACACATTGACACTGGGAACTGGGAGCTAAGCTGCTCGCACACCCTGACAGGATGAACCCCATGGAAGCTGCAGGCAATCTCTTTCTCTTAACGTTTCCAGTTTTTATTCCATATGTCTTGTGTCCACCTCTTTTGTTTTCACGGCATTTTGTTGTCTCAGTCTTGTCGTTTTTTATTCTGCATTCCTCGGCAGATCTTTGGTTGCAGTGATCATCTCTCTTCCCTGCATCTCTTAATACAATGTTGTTGTCACCCTTGAAAATTTTGAAGGACTTTGTGCCATCAACCTATCTGAACAACTCAACAGGCTTGTGCTGTTCTGTTTAAATTTAATGAAGATTCATTTTTACTTATTTTCCATGTCTACTTCTCCTTCCTATACCTGTAAAAAACACTAATTTCCAGCTTGCCTCCTTGGTTTATTCTAGTAAAATCTATTGGAGCGCAAGAGTATCCTGGATCTTCTTTCTTTTTTCATCTACTCACTTTTCTCCTGGCTCATCTCATGAATGGGCAATTGGGAATTTGCCAGGTAGAAACTGAGATCAGAGTAGTTCAGAGCATCCCTGAATGATCATTTTAGGCTCATAGGGCCTGAGGTCATTTTTTCTGCCTTGAGCGTGGCCAGTTAAGTAGCTGTTTTTACATATTCTCTCTCTGTTTAAAGCTGCTCATGGGAGCAGAGGGGAGGCACACATAGCCTCTTTGACAGATGCTTGTGGTCATGCTGCATTCTAAAAAGACTGAGGTACAATTGCAGGTAAAATTGAGATGAAAAGTGATGTGTTACCTTCCAAACCAGGGGGACATTTACAGATATAGCTGCCCACACCGTCCACACACACTCCACTTCCACATGGGTTTGATTTGCAGTCGTTATTAATATCTTCCTCGCAAAATTCGCCATCGAATCCGTTTGGACATAAGCACAGATATTCACCAAGGCCTGGGGGGAATTTGATATTGGTAACACATGTTCCACCATTGACACAGCTGCAAGGCTTTAGCAGAACCTGAGGAGGGCAAAAGGGAGTCATGATAAGGCGCTTCTGAATAATCGCAGTTGAGAGCTGTTACCCCTTGGGAAAAGACAGATTTACAGTACAAATATGTTATACAGTATTATGAAAACTTACTTCTAACCAATTTCCTTTGTCTAGATAGATGATCTCACACTCAGCACACTTATGTGACTGAAAGCTTGACTTTAAAGGGATTTCTTTTTATCATTTATGGGCACATTCTAACCTCTTACAAGAAAAAAAAAATCCTATTTGCTATAACAGCAGTTGCTACACGGTATCTGAGGGCAGGATTTGTTCCTTATTCTTCAAAGAAGAAGTGAGAAATCTTTTCTCTTTGCTTGCCTGCATATCCTCTTTAGTGTTTTTGCCATTACAGATGGCTCCCAGGCAGGAACATGACCGTGGCATTCCTTGGCTAGTCTCTATTTCAAGGAAGAGGGGCCTGTAGTTATGTTACCTATTAGCAAGGGCAGCATTACAACAGATTTGAATCTCTGCATTATCACATTTCATTAAACATAGATCTAGCTTGAAATATTCCCATTAAAAACATATCCAGACTCTGGTTTCTCCTTTGTTGTGTGGGTTCAGCAAGTATTTTTAATGGTAATTGTTTGAATGGATAAAGATTTGAAACTGTAGCAAAAAAATACTTTTGTTTTCCTCACAAAAATTCTCATGTGTCAAGTGACTGCAACCCACTTTATTAGCTCTTGCTATCATGGGATTAATGCTAGGTTATACAATAAAGAAAAAGCAATGCACGGGTGCTTCCACGAAACTTAAACCGTGGAGTAATGACATAAGAGCAAGCACCCTCTGAAAATGTCATTGAGAATGAGTTATAATCTCCCTTTTATAGCTAAAACTTGGTCTTTTATATTATATGCTTTTTTTTCTACAATCCGAAAGCAGAATGTGAATTTTAAAGCAGATTAATGAACCATTAACAGGCTCTGCAAGAGTGTTCTTTCAAACAGCAATCAATAGCACTCTCTCTTGTTCATTGCATATATAGTTTCTATGTTCTCAGAAATATTTATTCCATTAATTGATCATTATTGCCATACTGGGTAATATACACTTATGAGGAAATAGCTGAAGTCTTAGATTTTAAGACAGTAACGAATTATTAACTATGACAATTGCACTAAAATGCTAATATAATAAACAGTTTTTTCAGCTTTTTTTGTTTAAAGTGTTCATTTCCTTACCTCAATAGAGTATCTGCTCTGTGCATTGCATTCATCTGACACAGTGAATTCAAAGGTCTGCATTTCTTCTGAAACAACTTTCCATATGAGAAGGCCAGCGGGAGAGAGCCTGGCGTCCTGCGGTCCAGCCTCCAAGATGAAGAGCACAGCTGACCCTTCCGGATCCAGCGCTGCTAGCTGGTAAACAAAATTCTCCCCAATAAAGGTCAGCAGTTGGCTGGAGGGGGCTTGGAACACGGGAGGCAGGTTGTCTAAACAGTAAAGACAAAACCCTGATTACATAAAGTCAAGTTTCTCCCATGTACGCATTCACAATGAGTTCTTTGCAGGAATGTTCTTCATGAGAAAAGGTACAGAAATATCCTGAGACTGATGGAGGTTATTTAAATGTTACCAGCAGCAAATAGCTTTACCAGAAAGTATAGTTTCTTCCACCTATTTGTCTCATCTTCCATACTGAACTTCTCTACCATAGCGAACCATGATTTCTTTTGATATGTTTCTGATACACAACAGATCAGACATGACTTCTATAGCCTCCCACTAGTCTGCCTTCCCAATTCTTTCTAAAACGTTAATTATATCTCCAATAGTTGCATGTGTAAATTTATTCTAGCTATCACTCTGTCTGTTTAACTGTCTGTCTAAAAGTAAGTGAATGAATTCTCATAGTGATGAATGACAGGTGGATTGCGTGGGCAATTCAGGGGAAGAAAAGTAAGCTAGGTAACTATTCCATTGAGTAGCTTCCATTGCTAGGTACCATTACATTGCCAAGATGATCTCCATATGTCCCTTCCAACATCAGTGGATCTGAGCAGTAGGTAAGCCTGAGCAGTGGGACTGAATTCAGTCAGACACCTCAGGGATAAAGATCTCATTGACAGTACAGGTGCTACAATGGCACCGGGACTGTATCCTGTCACTATTGCCATTGTTATTCTTAGTGGTGGTGGTGTTTATGTTCAGTATTTCCTTAATAAAAATGAAAGCTAAATTGCACTCAGCTATTTTATAGAGAAACTTTGCCTGAAGATATTTACGATATAAATAGGTAAGAAAGACAGGGAAGAGAAAAAAAGTATTGCAGTTTAAAATTGGAAACCAAGGCAAAGTTGAGTACCCTGAGGAGACAACAGCTCTGTGCAGGGCTGGAAATTTCATCTCGGTGATTTAAGACTCCTCAGTCTCAAGCCATGTTTTCCTTCTTTAGCCATCAGGACAAATTAACGTACTGATATTTAAAGGAATGATCTCATAGAATGTAATGTGCTTATAGTTTTAAGTTAAACACTGCTACTTCCAAGCATTAATTTCAAGCCATACTCTAAAGCTATGAACAATATATGTGTTTTCATAAAGACTGCTTGTGTCTTTGCATTATGCTTTTGGGAAGTCATTATTAGTGGGCTTTTTGTGCATGCATATCCACTTCTCAGCTTTTGCTTTCCATAGCTTGTCTCACATTATGCAGTTATTTAAATGTGCCTCTCTACTCATTGCTGCTCTGCTATCAGAGTTTTTGAAACTGCCTGTCCAGCAGATTGCCATGGCATAACTGCTGAAAGCTTCCATCTATTAATTTACCTTTTACTTCACAAACACTCAAACTGTGGAGCCCATAAAGGTTGTGCCAAAAGTAATCAATGAGGTATTCAGTGGGTATGCATTTATAGATAAATGCAAAGTGTTAACTGGATGGAGGATTACAAAAAGTGATAGGCACAAAAGAACCTAAAATGAGGAGCTCCTAAAGCAGTCTGCTAACAAGACTGTTTGTGACTACACTGAAGCATCCTTTGCATTCAGTGAATATGTACTCACAGTTATTGCACAACCTTTTTAAAGTTCTCACAGTTTTGAAAATGAGTCAGATGAACCCTTTCATTTTGGTATTCTTAAATTTTGAAGTCATCGAAATGTGAATCATGGTTTGTTCCACACTTTCTAAATCATTTCTAGCCTTATAGAATTTCAAACAAAACGCAGTTTTTACCTTTTAAGTAATTTTTGAACTTTAATATGAAACTTTCTCAGTATTAATAACCAGTATGTCTTCAGGACAGACTCATCCCCAGAAGTAATATTGCTGTGCCACTGAGATACAAGGACAGAAAGGAGGCAAATTTTATGAGTCAGAGGTGAAATTTCTCATTAAACTAAATTATATCTTTAAGCAGAAAGTCTTTATGCAAAAAAAAAGATACTTTCAAGTACTCAAGCTCTTCAAGACTGGCTTACCCTTAAACATTTTAACTATTGTCTGAATGAAATGCAATGGTATTCTTAGTTGGCCAAAACTTGTGATGGATTTGCTGTTTTATAGGTCCTTTGTGGTCCTTCCTAAGTGTTTTTCTACCAGCTCCTAGGCAGGCTGTGTCTGCACACTGCTTCTCTCCACAGTGTCTCTATTGAGCTACAGACCCAGCCACTGCGTTCCAGCTCTCTTGCTCTTTCTTCTCCTTTAGGCACTCTCCAAAAGCCTCTGTCCCTGAACAGTCCCAGTTTTCCCCCAAGGAAAAGGGCTTCAAAAAGCGGGTTTCTCCACAGCTCCCATCATGCAGGGCTGCAGAATGATCCTTCAGGTTGTGGAGCAGTGAAAGTCACGGTTAGCTGATGCTTATCCCCCCAACGCCCTGCTAAGCCAAAGCCTTTTATGCAGCACCTCTTAGAACTGGGGTCAGAGAATTAAAACAATTCTTTAAGATACCAAAAATAGGCATTTTTCTTTGCAGTGTTTTCTGCAAGTTCCCTCAAAGATTTGTACTTGCAATGTGATTAGAGATGTATTTTCAGCAAACAGATGTAGGCACTGCATGAGGCCTCGATATATCAAAATTTTCATCTTTGAGGTGTTACTTTTAGTTATTAATTTGAAGTCTGTATTTCTCATGCAACCAACTATTCCCACTGGAAAGTGCAGTTTCCACACACTGTACGATAGGCCGACAGTAGCCTGTGTATTTCACAGGCTGAGTGCTAAATTCCCAACTAAATGCTTCCAAGTTGTAGAAAAGGTGTCTTACTTCCATTAATAGACCAGGCAAACTTAGAAATGTCAGGTTCACAGAGAAGGCAAGGACTGGCAGGGCTTGACTCTCCTTCAACATAGCAAAGTCCGTCTATATTACAAGTATTTTCCTGCAAAAATATAAAAATAAAATGGGTGGGAGGTGGAGGCAAGGAAAAAAGAAATAAGAAAGATAAGAAATTAGCAGTTGCTAAATTGGATTGCTTGAATTTCTTTAATACTGATGGATAAAATAGCAGTACTAAAATGAGCATGAAGCTCCCTACCCATTTTGTAAGCAAGTACCTGGCTGCAGAGCGCCCACGGTCACAGCCTGCCCGGGCACAGGGCTCCATCCCACTGCAGCCCAAACGCTTCCCCCGAGACTGACCCGGGTACCAAATCTGGTGGTCTCAAGCCCTGTTTTAGTAGTTTCCCAAGCTTCTTTTTCAGTGTATATTAGGTCACATTTTAAATTATGCCATCTTAAAAGTACTGGCTAAGGTAAAGAAACAGAAAGTACTTTGTAATTGCCCTCAAATGATAGAACACCACAGATCTCTAGCATTAAAATTTGGATGTTAATTAGATTTTATTACATTGTTGTTTTCAAAGGAACTAGGCTTGGTTCTGATGAAGAAAGATGCTTTTCTTTTTTCTTTTTTTTTTCCTGATGTGATAATGTGGTGGAGAATGGGCTTCATAAAAGAGGAACACAAAATGTGAAATGGCCTGAGATAAAATGTCCCCTAATTGAAACACCTTTTCTGAAAGCAATTTAGGTATTACAAAGTAATCTTATAAGAGGGGTAATTAGAATGTGGTTTGATGCAATTGGAAGCCCAGTTCAAATAGTCCCTTGAAGCATCTTAGTACAGAAATTATTGTAATCCCTAGAGAACAACAGCACAAAAACATATATGTTTCAAAAATATAAGAATAAGGCAAAGTTTCTAAAAAAAAAAAAAAAAAAAAAAAAAAAGAAAAAAAGTAAAAACTTTTTAATTGAAATTGTTCTTACATCATTATTTTAAGCAGAAATATAAATGTCTTTGCCCTCATTTGAGCCTATGGAATAATTTCTGTTCACTGATTTACTTGAAAAAATGTAAATTTTTGTTTTATTTTTGTAACTGGTAAGTTATTGCAGTCACTGCAACTTTGCAAACTATTTTTTCATGTTAGTGTTAATGAGGACAGTGAAGCAAATGTGTTAGTTATACCTGATTCATCTTTGTTTTATAAAAGTGAAACGTGGTGCTCTCTATCCATCTCTGCCTCAGGGTAGAAAAGCAGGAATGGGGTTTCAGTCAATAGCTGCTAAAAGTGTGCTGTAAACCCCACTGAAAAATAGTAAAGTTTTCTAATGCAGTCCTTTAGAATATAAAGGGAGGATTTTAGGAAAAGGGGATGTTACAGTAATAAATAATTTATTAGAGTATACAGGGGACACACATAGAATACAGTGTTATTCCAGCACTTACGAGCACGTACGAGCATGTTGGCAGTTGAAAACGTAGCTCTAGACTTACATTACAGCATCAACACTGTCGTAGTACTGTGAGTTTGTACTTGGCAGTATTTCAGGGAAGCAAGAACGTTTCTATGGCCTCTGGAGTGTTTTCTCGTGACAAAAGTTGCACAGTGTGCATGCCAGCGTACCTCTTGCTAAGGCAGGAAATGGGAATGCAAATGATGTATCCTACAGTGACGGTGCTTCCCCCAGACAGACTTAGAATTCATGCAAGATAAAATAACTTACCACCAGAGACACTTCAGAAGGGAAGGTAAGCTACTTTCAGGCGAGAATCCACAGTCCTATTTACTTCCACTAATATTTTCAAGTATAAATATTACCAACTGTGTTCTTTCTGGAAATGTCAGTCCGATAAAAGTCTATCATAAAGTCTACTTTATCAGGTATTCATGGCACACAGAAATAATAACAATGAAAAAAATGGAAATTGTGAAAGAGAGCAAAGTATTAGATCGTGCAGCTGACCTCTGGAATAGATTTTCCTCTTCTGAAATAGGTACTATGCACAGTACATCAAAGGGAGGGAGAGGGCTAAGGAAGAGATGAATGATCCATATTAAACCTTTATGTTCTTTCAATTACCTTTAATTTACAAACTCCGGTTGGATGGAATTCACAGGCCTGGCAGACTGCATCGTACAGGGTCAGGACTTTGGAATTACTGTACTGGAAGCCATCATTAGTGATCTAAATGATACAAAAATCATACTTATAAGTAATAATGTTCCATATGGAGACTGTGTGCTCACTCTGGAGCATATACCATTGCACCCTTGCACTGGATGCCTGCCAGCGAGATAAATTAAACCGCTTGTGAGTTGCTTTACTGCAAGCTAACAAATTGCTTAATGTTCCAAACTGGAAACTCTTCATTAATAACCAAAAGATCTTTCGGCTCAGCTGACATTCAGGGTTTTTTTTTTTTTTTTTTTTTTGATTGTAGTTAGATTTGTTGAGTAGTCTCCGCTTTAAAACATTTTCAGTAGGCAAAACCAGGTTGTTTTTAGTAGTGCATTACCATGCACTGGTGCCACTGGTAGCTGGGACCACCAGTGCCATCACCAAATAGGTGCGTCCAGCAGATACCCTTATGGAGAGAGCACAGGCAGTCAAGTTCTGCAGGTTTCCAGTTGTGACACGAAATTAAGATTTTTGGCAAAATGTCAGGATCACTTTCCTACTAATAACAAAGCAGTTAGCTTTCCCTTTCTCAAAGATAAAAAAAAAAAAAAAAGCTTTTATTTACATGGTTTTAAAAAAACCTCAAAAAAGTACTACTGTGGATAAAACTGGGCAGTGAAAGTTTTATTTCAGCAGGTAGAGAATAGGTCGCCTTCTAGTCCCAACACAGAAAAGTGCTACGCTCCCCTGTAATTTAGAATGCCTTTGTCTACAATTAAAGCCTTAAAAATGCCTTTTAAAATATATTATGCTTGCACAATAAGACAGGGCTACACAAGCCTATGTTTTAATTTTCCACAATAAAAATGAAAGAATGCCAGAGAAATACGGAAAAGTGCTTTGAGAAAGCATTGTCACATCTCTCGAAGTGACATATGTGACTATTAAAGAGCATTCTAACCCCAAAATGCTCCCCAAAGCCGTCCTGTAGACACTGGTAGCGCTCGGGCGCGGGAGCCAGGGCAGCTCCCCGAGCAGAGCAGGAGCTCTGGTTCCGATGATGGACAATAGCGGGGTCCACACGTCAGCCCACAGAATCGAGTATTTAAGAAGTTGCTAAAACCAAAAGGCTGGCGTAGACACAGCCATGAGATTTACAGCTCCTCATCAGCAGCAGGGTCAAAGAGTCTAAAGTTTCTTGATCCAGTAATAAACTACTTGAGTTCACTGTAAGAGTGAACGCGTGTTAAAACTGAGCGAAAAGATTATCTAAAGTGCACAGAATAAAAATTACTTTAATAAATTCCATAAAAAGCATCGATTAGCATAAGCTCACTAAGACTAATATAGAAGCTCGTGGAATGCAATACAGGAGATACTCCCACAATGTCACGTGTGATCGTTCAAAATGCAATGCTAGCTAAGTGGATCAACTTCTGCAGGCACAAATATAAGTAGATAAGTGGATGGTATTGCTGGATATTTATAATTTGAAGTTCTGAAGTACATAACACCTACTTTGGACTAATTTAATTGAAGTAAAAGTCATTGGTATTGCTATAAGGAAACTGTTTCTTTCCTGCACAACATGCTCAGTCAAAGTGTTCATCTATTATATGTTATACTAAATGGAAAACTCTTCTAAAAGATGCAAAGAAATTACCTCTGAGCTCCAGAGGAGAGAAAGAAGAAAATCCCCTAAAACAACCCCCAGAAACGTGTACCTTGAAGAAAAGTGATATTTATTTGCAGCAAGATTTCTGTCAAGAAGCTGTCATTCTTAATGCTGTTTGCATTTGATTTCATTCTTTTATCAATATTTCCTTTTTTTTAATTCAAAACTAGTACACTAGTCATTACTAGTGTAATGGGGAGATGCTAAAGAAATGAATGAACAAGGGAAAATATATTGACTTATAAAATTGCTCTAATTTTTCTATTCCAGTCGAGCATTGTGAATGAAATATATATCTTTCCAATTTTTTTGTTACCGTAATTTTTCAACACTCTATTAGAAACTTCCACTTTGTTGTTTTTTTTTTATAATTGGGTTGTTTTATTTAATAGCTTTTCCATTAGTTGCCCTAGTGATGTGGCTGCTTTCAAAAGCAGCGGTCAGATCTAAGATGAGCAAAACTCTATACAGAAGTCAATTGGCCTTAAAAGTCCAATATCCACTGCCAGTTGTGCCATGATGGTTTGAACACATGTATCCTCTGGAAATAAAATGCTCTTTCGTCTGGACAAGCAATCAAGCCAGTGAGAAGCAGTCCCTCACATCTGCCTGAAGTGAATTTCATCTATCATGAAACAATGTTGGCTGCTTGCATCACTCATAATATAAATACGAGTTGACTTGCAAGAATATCTGTGAATGAAAAATGGAAGCTCTAGAAACTTGCTGAATCCAAATTCAGTTTCTGCTTCACTGGCTTTTTAGCAAATATTATTCCTACCTTTGACAAATACAGGCAACGGAAATGACTTGAGGGTAAGCAGGGACCTGCTTCCCACATTAGGTAAGTGCCTGCCAGGCTCTTTCACCTTTTCAGCGTGTACCTGGATAATCTAAGTCATCTGCTGCCTGAGTAGGACTTTGTATTTTGGTATCTAATCTAATTATATTAGGTGTGGTATCTAATCTAATTATATGGAGGTGGCTCTGGTGCAGCCACAGTACTTTCTTATCTGCATTCAGCAGTATGTCATGGGAAGAACGAGCAAAATCTGCTTGCTCTAGAGGAGATAAAGTGAGAGAATACTGAGAAGAATGTGTGAGCCCCTTCCACACCATGAGCAGGGTCATGAAAAAAATGAAAAAAAAGGCTTATGTGGAATTTTGATGATTTTTCTCCTATTTGATTTGCTAGTGGGAGAGGTTCTGAAAATATTGGAGATATATTTTCAGATAGAATTATTATTTTGATTTTTTGGGAAGAAGTTTTGCCTGCATTTTTTAAAAGCATTAATGTAAGCGTAATGTGAGACAAAAGATAATATCAAAACAAGTCTTGCTAGGACTTTTCTGTAGCACAAAGTTTTGAATATTTGTGGAATTCATTTCAAATCATCTCTGTCTTGAAATAGTCCATGGTTATACTCTCTGTGCCACCATAAAAGAGACATTAACGCTAAATAAATAAATGAATGTCTTCTAAATGGAATTCTGAGCTTTCCCTTCACAATTCATTCAGCAAAACTATCCACATGAGAGATACGATTAGCATGCAGCCGGCTACGTCTGCCTTGGATGGTTTAACTGTGCATTCACACAGTTGTGTAGCCAGGAAGCTGATTTTTCCATGGGGTTCAAAGGCTCGGGAAGGTGCAGGAGGCTTGCAAGCACGGAGATTTCCTTGAACCAAAGTGCAAGGAGGGAGACATTTTACAGGTGTTTTGAGATGAAAATATGAGCAACAGAACCGCGCTGCTCAGGGCTGACAGGCAGCGCTTGAAAGCAGAATGAACGGCGATGCGCGCTAGCGACGAGGCAGCGCGGGACACCGAGCTGTCCCTCCCCGCCACCAAGCTCAAGGGGGTCTCGTGGCAGTTCTTCAGATCCCAAGGTGGGATTTTGGCTCACCAAAAATATCCATCTTAAATAAATGTACAAAGTTCTTTTTGTTTTCCATGTGCAGCAAGGCAGCACCTCTGGTCTGCACTGTGAACAGAGGAGCTTTGCAGGAAGGCTGCTAGCACTGGAGGGAAGCTAGTGTTTCACTTGCACATACTCCAGTTTTCAAAGCACATCTGCAGTCCTTATACAACCGTGGTACATTTTTCTCGGCTTTGGGGAGCTGGAGTATGGGGTGCTCAGCCTTAAGGAACAAGCCAGCCTCGGGAACACAGCCGTGTAGGCTGAGAACGGGACCAGGAGCAGGTTCAGTAAGACACTGATTTCCTGTGAATATGTGGTAGGAGACCTGCCACCGACCCAGTGAATATGCGAGACCTGCCACCGACCCAGCACCCCGAGCCAGGGCGCCTCGGAACGAAACACTGATGACTGGCAATTGATTGGTCCGACCGCATCCATCTCGGGCGATTACCTGGAGAAGTGATTGCAATTTGCTCTTTCAGATTGCCTGTAAAGACATCTGGTTTCAACTCCTTTTGTTTTGTTTTGGAGCCTTTTTTTTTTCACTGCGTGCCATTAACGTAAGTATTTCTACGGGCACCTTTAACGCTAAAGGGAAGCAAATGTGCTTTGCATTTTGATTTACCATGACAACTGATTTGCTCCTTCTACATTATGTCTTAGAAACATAAGAAATCCTACTTTCACTTGCCATCGTGCGAGCGGCTCGTCGCCAGCCACGAAGTGCACAGCCTCCATCCCTGTAACGTTCAGCAGAGGAATCTGGCAGTCAACGGCCTCAGAGCTGAGGAAATCTGCTTTTGTGGTCTCTTGCTCTCTTGATATCCATTCACCGTTGAGATGCTGCAGCAAAACAGAAGGGGAGTGCAGGAACTCAGTCGCTGTGTGTTGAGATCAGCTGCACAAAATGTCCCAGCTTAGCCAGGCCCGATGGGGCGCTCGGTGGCCATGGTGGGCAAGTCTCAGCTGGGTCTCAGTGTGCAGGATGCAGGCTGAACTTCTCTTGTGAAGTAGATTTAAGAGATGCATCCAACAGTATATTTGAGTATCCTTACAGCAAGTAATTCAACATCTTAGAATTGTCTGTGTGTGGCAGCTTGTAATAAAATTACAGTCTTGCCCAACAAGATCATTTCAATACTCATTAAAACTTCTGACTTAGTACTTAACTATGACTAAGAACATTGAAATAAGAGATGCAGTAGATGTGTAGGGGAATCCTTATATTTTATATTTAACTATAACAGTTAGCATTCAAATGCATTTAGAAAAACAACCAAGCGTGCCCATTCCAGATGCACAAAATGAGAAATAATATTGTGATTTCAGGCTTCACTGAACCACAGTGTAGCTGAACCAAACAAGAGTTAAACAAACCCCCATGGAGAGAATTGGCAGGAATACGTAGCTTTGCATTTCTTTGGAACCAGTCCTGGAAGGGGCCCAGCCGCTTCAGCTCCCCTTGCTCATAGCAGCCTGTTGGATTCAAGGGTATTTGTGCCCTGCTGCCACCATGAGAGATGGTGACATTCAGTACCGTTCGGGGAGGGAGACTTTAATACAAACATGTCAAACTGCATCATCAGTACTTTATGAACCTGTGGGAAGGTGCTTACAATTAATCTGGTGACCTTGCAGTGCAGGTTGTGAGAATCTTTGAAGCCAAGGCCGAACACCCGGATCCTGCTACAGTCAGAGACTCGGATATCGCAGAGGCCCCCGTGCGCTAAGCCTGTGATTTCCAAAGTGTGCTCTGGAAGGACGAGATAGATACAGAGCTTTAGAGAATGCACCTTGCGTGCTAGTCCCTCCTGCCCCCTCAGAATTGCTCTTGTTGGTGTTTCCTTTCCGTACACTGGGGGTTTGTTTTGGGTTCTTTTTCTCAGTATTCCTTGCTCCCCTGCAAGCTTCCCCAAAGAGGAGCAGGAGCAGTTAACAGGAAACCTCCCAGCCAGCAGCCAACCTCCTGCTGAGCAATTTTCCTGCACACACAGGATTGCAAGATTTATCATAGAGTGGTATAGAGCTCATGTAATTAATTAACTTGTGTTGTGGCTTCAGGGTAAACGGTTTTCAGAGGCAATACCAGCTTTTGCTGACTCCATTTGCAGCCAGGCCCAAAAAACAGTTTGCCATAATGCAGAGAAGCATGAAGGTGGGAAGTGGAAATATGCTAAGATGACCCTGCCGCCAAACTCCTCATAATGTGAAATAATGCTGCAAAAGACATTCCTTTTCCCAAAACCAGTGCATGTAACAAATCTAACAGTGCTCAGAGGAATGTTTGCATGTGAGGGTTAAGTCAGTAATGGGCGACACAGCTCTGTACAATGTCAGCACAAATGCTGTGCACCACTTAAGTCTCAAACGGTATTTTGAGGCCTTAAATAGGGTTTAAGTGATATATGGCCTGTGCTGTCCTCCCTGCAAGGTTGACTTTCACCCATTAATGTTTTAAGGATGCTTTATGATTCTCAGGTAGAGTTTCATTTTTCTGCTGTTGCACTTTAGCTGTTAACATTGCCTATTGCTATCACGTTATTTTTACGGAATGAAATTTAAAATTAGTTGCAGAATCCAGATCTTTAACAAAAATACAACTGGGCATATCTGGGATATTTTACATCAGCATAGGTATTTGCACAACCTGTAATATCTCTGTAATATTCCTGTGTCATAGCTGTAGTCAGGCAGGATCATGCTTTTGTATTTTCGCTGCCAATGTTTATAGTTCTTATGGGCAGTAGAAGCCATCATGATTATCTGCTCTATCATACAAAGCAGAATATTCCCATTTTGTTTCTTGGATGGTATTTGTTAGAAGTGGGTTAACTGGGAGCCATCAGAGGCAGATCATGCGCCAGCATGAGGATATTGCCCGTCTCTTATCCTCAAGCTGTCTCTTATCTAAAACAGAAGCTCTGCATTGCCTAATATTTTAATAGCCCATTGATTGAGCTCTGATTCAAGAGGCAGAATGCCTTTAGCTGATAGCTGTCCACTGCACCTTGCTCTTCCTTTAGGGCTCTGCCATTTAGGCCATAACAAGGATGAATGTTGTTCAAACATTGCGATCCCACCACCTCGCAGCCCGTAACACATAGCTGTGTGGCACTTGTTTTCCCAAAGAAAGGAAGGAAGGCAACATAAAGGTGAAAAACTGTGAAAAGACCTTCTTTTATACTACCAAAATGCTTTTAGTATTTCTTTTGCTTGTTGTTGTTAAGGATTTTATTGCTGCAGCATTAGCAATGCTGTTGGGCATTTGCTATATTTACAAAAAGAGAAATAGTTTACAGCTTATCAGCATTCATCTGTTAGCTGTGGATTTCTGTAATGTACAAAACTATTAGTCAGATGTAGCAAATGGTTTTGATAAATTGCCATCTTCTGCAGTTAGTGTATTAAAAAAATGCTTCATTATGTTTTTCATAAGATTTTAATAGTTACTCCCACTAGTACTGAGGTAGCTCAGCTTGCATTAAAATTTTCATCATCATTTCAGATTTTCGAGCTTCTGCGTGTGAGGAAAAATCTCATAACCTGGGGATGAGTGACAGGGCAGGAATGTGTTCGTGCATCCCTTCTTCAGCAACCCTGCTCAGGGTTGTTGCTTATCAATGAGTCCTGGAGACTTTCTGCAGGATTTGCTTACATCTCTGTGTACATCTCGACACTGCTGCAATAGTGTTGGGCCAGGGCCAAAGCAAAATTATGCAGCCTCAGTGCTTTTTGAAAAGCAGCAGCATGGCATGCAGGATTTATTTCACTCAAGTTGTCCCATGCACTCTTTTATGCGGATTTTTTAAATTGCTCTAAATCTCATAGAAAAAAAGGGTCCCATATATTTTTGGATATCTTCTCTCAAGGCTTGTCAAATTGTGTGCTAATTAGGATGAAGATTTTTTTTTTGCGGGGTTGTAAAAGGAAAAATGTATATCATATATTTCCTCTAGTTTGATGGAGGTGGAGAAGAGGAAGGAGGGGACTATGTTTTTGTTTCAATAAGCTCTTTATTTGTTGCCAGTCTTTGCTATTTCAAAGCATCTCCATCTGGGAGTTCTCTAAAGGAAAGAATAAGCAGTGTTGCTGTGTAGGAGATCATATTTAATATAATTCTCTCTTGCTTTATCTCTGGTCAGCTAAAGACATGGTAAGTGGTGAAGTCCATTCACATTTTTTTTACAAAGGATTTTTGTAGGGAATATTTTGAGAAAAGGAAGAAGAGGGAGAAAATGAAGAATAATTTTATAACTGTTTTTTTTTTTAAATGATACCAAAGTTCAGATTTTAGACCTCAGTATGGACAATAAACACAATTAGGTTCGTTTTCAACATTGGCCATTAGTTTTAATGTGAATGTTTCTGAAGGTGAACAATCATATTTAATGGACATAGGAATTTTAGGCATTCATTTTTAACATGGTTTTCTGTTTGTCTTTCCTTCTTTCTGCTGTTTTTGGTCCATATTAACCAGTCTCTACCAATTGCAAAGGGTGGCAGTCTCAAAGACATTGTATCTGTTCTGTAAATGATATGTGTGCACAGACTTAGAAGTAGAACGAAATTTGACAAAAATTGTATATTGTGAAACTAAACTTACTGAAGTTTTACTAGTGGTTGGATGCAGCTCATGCTTGGTTTCCACTTTTGATTAGAAAAATATCCTAGCACAAATGAACATTCTTTTGCAGTGCTTTAAAAGCTCGTATGTAATTTTGGGCGGATACTGTCAGACCAGAAATTGAAACTGGAGGAAGTTTGTCCAAACAAAGAGAAGGAAACGGACTGCCCAGTTTTCCTTGAATTGGATGATGAATAAGCAGCCTGTCAGGAATGCGAAACAGATCGTATGCTGCTGGAAATGGTTGCAGCTTTGTTGAAGCAAAAAATAACATTGTCCATGTTAATTGTCAAGTGAGATATTTGTCAAGCAGGAGCTGGGTTTTCTAGGAGCAGGTGAATGCAAACAGACCAAGCTCACTTTGCTGTATCCTCATGTGGCTGGTGGCAAGGCTGCTTGATTCTGGATTGCAGCACTGTGTTTGCAAGCTGCGGTGCCAGAGCCTGCGGACGTCCTGCTATCCTGCACTACGGAGCTTCTGGATCGGAGCTGCCTGACATTTAGTTACCTCACAGCATGAATGGAACGAGCCTGAATCTGCCTCTTTCATGTGAATACACAAATATTCCACTTCTTTCTTCTGCACATGTCCGTACCTCAAAGCTCATTTGAAAATCCTCCCTAAATATTAATTTATATGCAGCTTTCCAGCGGTTTTGTGCATCGTTGTCCTGACTTCTCTAACCTGGCTTCTAAGAGAAGACTCTCTTTGCTGCAAATGTAGTTCTTGAAGAACTGCTATTTGCCAGAGTGCCCAACTGTGGGCCTATGTCCTGTTGCTGACATGGAGAATCTTAAAAATAATAAGTTTTGTGCTTTCAAGGGCTCGGATATCCAGGGTTGCAATACAAGTGTTTGCTTGCTATGCAAGAATTAAGCTTTGCAAATGAGGGAGCATTTTAGATAGCCCTTAATAGCTAGGAAAGTTAGCCAGGATGTGACATCTTAGCAGGGACATGAACATCTGTCCTGGAATTATTCTTATGTAAATGTACTATGTGCCTAAATCCCCGTTTACCCTCCCTAGCCTGTTAACAGACCCAAACTCCCAACTTCTTATTGCACCCTGTGGTGCGTCCACATCAAATCAGCAACTGGTGTTTCCCTGCGGAAAGGGCATTTTGCAAGTCCTTTAACTCGCCACCTGCAAGGAAGGGACTGGCTCTGTGTCACAAAGCAACCGTGTTCTCCAGCAATGTGGTAGCTTATTTTTTCTTTAAAAGCTTACTGTGACATTGTGTGTCTGTTTGATCTCCTCTCTTTTTAAAAGGCTTGCTAGCACTTTATGGTAGCGATAGAAGGAAATGGGTTAGCCCCAGAGTATTGGCTAGTTTTTCAGTGGCCTTGGTAGGTGGTAAAATTTAAGGTCAGCTTACACATTCACAGCGTTTACTGACATAGCAAAACAGACCTCAGTTTTAGTCACTTGAAGGCACTTTAGAGCAGGACCAGAGGCAGCAGCACTTCGTGCTAATGACTGCAGTTACGGCGCTCAGAGGGAGATGCAGGATGGAGCTCAGGGGCCCCATCACAGGCTGCGTGTCCACGCGAGTGGAGAACTGATGGTGTGCAGCAATTTCCCCATCTTTGCAGTTACTGAATTAGAATAAGATCTGGTTATTATGAATGTGTTCTCTATTCATAATTGTTTGGCCATTCTGTGCTGGGAGACCTTGGATTGTTTATACTGCCGTAAACCCTTTGTAAAGCATCATATAAGAAGTTGCAGTCCTGCTCTGAATTTTTGGCTTCGAGCAGTTTAAATCAGACATTTTAAAGTTCTAATTCTAATTTTGTAATGCATAAATTTATTATTTGGGGTGTGTATATGTACTCGAGGAAGGGCATTGTTTGCCCAGGGTTTTGTTTTTATTTTGGATTTAGCAAGATTTAAGGCAGAAATTTCCTGCAGTGCCTGCAAACAACAGGATATAAAACAGGCATGCGTCCGAATTGTCAGGCTTTGGTCAGTTTAAATGAGACCTTTAATTCTATAAACTGTTGCAGCATTTAATTCTGTACTTCAGAAAATGGTCTTGTTTAGAGCAAGTAAACTGATCAGCAGAAAAGACTAATCTCCCTGATCTGATTTGCAAGCAATAGTATGGATCACCGAGCATGCAACCTTC